ATTTTTAAATATAAACTAAGATTCTATTTTTTTTAAAGTCCGAATTAATATATATTAATCTCATATTTAGATACATAAATTAATTAAAAATTTAATAATTTAGAGTAAAACTTTAAAAAAAAAAAAGAAAAAAAAAAAGCCCGTTTCAAAAACTAAAACAAGGAACGAAATCTTTCTTATCCTGAAAACAAGAACTACTAATAAAAAAATTACTCCCATTACTACTTCATTAATAAAACAATTTTTTATATTAAAAAACCTTATATATTTTTATAATTTGGATCCATCCCTCTTTGTCTCCCTGCACTCCTTTTTGCCTCTAGGGTTTTTGCTTCAGCTCTCTCCTCTCATGTAAGTACCAATCCAATCTTATTTTCTCGCTGAATCCGTTCGGTATGCTTTCTTCATTATCTGTATGACTGTATTTCATCCTCATTTCCTTCCTGTTGGATTTCGTAGTGTCGGTTTTTTCTTTCTTGCTTTCATTTTGCTTGATTGTTGTCGACACACACATAGGCTAAGGACTCAGTGATTCTATAACACGAATTTCGTAGACTACCCAGCTCGAGGAAGTTCTTGCTTTTTGATTTTGAGAATTGTTGGGAACGTAATAGAAATAACGAGAAAAAACTGTTAAGGAGATCATTTCTAGTTTCATCTTGTACTCCGTGGATTAACTTAGGGAGGTTATTATTTGTGGGGTTTGTTTTTAAGAAATCAACTGTTTTCATTTCCTCTTGATACCTCACATTTTTCAACCCTTTATAACAACCTAGCCTTTCCACAGTTTACCCCTTGTTGTTAAGAATTCCACATTTTTTAGGCTTTCCCCTTTTCTGCCTGATGCTGTTTCTATTCTTCATTTTATTAGGATTTAGTTGATGTTTCAGACTTTCTGAAGTTGATTGGATGAATAATGGGATATGTATATAAGTTATCATTTCAAGCTGAAAAGGTTCAAGAATAAGAAAGCAATGAAAATGACAATTAGGGTTTTAGACCATACAGGCGATTGATAAACTGACATAAGTTAGATTTTAGCCTTTGTTTTATAGTTCTGCAATATTGCACACCTATTAATTCCCTCATTTGTTTTGAGTGGCAATATAACATTTTGTGAAAAATTTCAAAATATGACTCTTTGTGTGATGGTTTTAGGTTGATTGCTGATTTTTAGTTACCATGCAAGCTTGATTCGTTGTAAGAGATGTAATTCCAAGGGAGCTTTTCTCTTCTGGATGAGGTTATGTGTCTTCAGAATTTTAAGATTGTTGCTCAATTTTTAGTTAACTTTTATGTGGACATCTTCTTGGATCTGGAATGTGTAGGTTAGAATAACCAGTAACATAAGTGAACTGAGGCTCACTACAGCTTGAATAGATAATAATAATAATATAAAGTTTACATATGGTTGTTGTTTTTCCTCTTATATTGCTGACTTTTTATTCAAAATTTCTCTACTGGAGTTTCTGCTTTATTTCTAAAAATTAGCTGCTCATTTGTCATACATTTACTTCACCTGCTGCCCCATCATGCATTTTTTTATTTAAATTGTTTGTTTGTTGAGCCATGAAGCTGGGTCATGTTGATGGATTGACTTTAGATGATGTAATTGTAATTTTTGTTTAATGCTGTCCCTGTTGAACCTGCTATTCATGGTTTGGGATATTTGTTACATTTTAGGCACTTGAACTTGTGTGAAACTTAACCTCTCAAATGTATGCATGGGACTTTTTTTGGACCTCTGAAAATTGATGTTGATAGCGGCATACTTTAAAATAGTAAACTTCTTGAAGACAGATTTTTTGTGGTTTTGAGCCGGTATTTTGAATTTTTGGATAATTTTCACTATTCTTATTGTTTTACTAAATTTTGTTAAAGCCAAAAATGGTGTTACTGTTTGTGCGCAAAGCTTGCGCAGCTTCTAAATGCACATACACGGTTGATTTATATACATTACTAATTTGCTTGATGATCATGCCATTGAAAATAATAAATCTGTTGATCTGCAGATACTTTTTTTTTGCATCAAAGGAACATAGAAACATAAGTTTGCTTGTTTAGTTCGTTTCAAAAATGGGGGATGCAGAGGGTGCTCTTCCACCATCAAAGAAGAGGGCTGCTGGCAGAGAACTCTCTCGGGATAACCCTGGTCTTGATGATGAAGAAGATGCTTCTGAACAAGAGACTGGAACTTTTAAGAAGGCCAGTGATGAAGTGTTGGCAAGCAGAAGAATAGTCAAAGTTCGCAGGAAAGAAACCACCTCAACCCCCTCATCCAATCCTTTTGCTGGGATTCGTTTGGTCCCTTCTACTGAACCCCAAGCAGCTGGTGCTGAATCCAGTGTAACATCCACTGATCTTACAGCTGAAGCACCAGCTAACAATGAGAAGACACTTTCAGAAGATGGAAAAAAGGATGTTGGCCAAAATGAAGAGATTGAAGATGCAAATACCAAGCAGTCAGGAAGCAAGACTGATGAGCCTGTAGGTGAATCTGAAAAGAGTGAAAATGAGAATGAAAAACAGTTGGAAAGTAAGGTTGATGAACCACCTGCTGAAACTGTTGCAGCAAAGGAGAGTGCTGAGGATAGGAACAGTGATAATGAAGCAACTGAAACGGAGGCTGATAGTGAAAAACAGCCAGCAGGTGATGAGACCCAGAATGAAGATAAAAAGCAAAAAGATAATACTGATACTGAAGAAAAGAAAGATAGCACTAATGAAAATGTAGGTTCTGCTGAAGGTGCTTCATTGAGTTCTTTTCAGCAGCTTTCTAGTAGCCAAAATGCCTTCACAGGACTTGCTGGATCTGGATTTTCTACTTCAACGTTCTCATTTGGATCTGTTGCAAAGGATAGTTCTGTTTCTCTCTTTGGACAGAAGAATAACCAGCCTTCTTTTGGTTTTGGTCTCTCAACGAATGGAAACTCTTCTCTCTTTAACACATCAGGGGCTTCAATTGCTTCAAAGAGTGAGGGAAGTGGTTTTCCATCCTTGCAGGAGGTTCCAATTGAGACGGGGGAAGAGAATGAGAGAGTGGCTTTCTCAGCTGATTCAGTTCTGTTTGAGTTTATGGATGGAGGGTGGAAGGAGCGTGGGAAGGGAGAACTTAAGGTAAATGTCTCCACAACTGAGACAGAAAAGGCCAGGTTGCTGATGAGAGCTAGAGGAAATTACAGATTGATTCTGAATGCCAGTCTCTACCCAGACATGAAGCTGACGAATATGGACAAGAAAGGCATCACTTTTGCTTGCATGAATGGTATTGGCGAAGGCAAAGGAGGGTTATCGACTTTTGCCTTGAAATTCAAGGATGCTTCTATAGTGGAAGAGTTTCGTGCAGCCGTTGTGGCAAACAAAGGCAAGACAGCAGCTGCTCTTAAGACCCCAGAAAATTCTCCTAAAGCGGCGGAGGTCTAAGAAGTGTTCCCACTTCCCAGGTTAATCTTTGCATTTCTCTGTGGAAGAAAGCATCTCACATTGAGTGTCTATTTCCTACGCCTTTTTTCTGTAGCAGAGTCAGGTTCCAATCTTTTGTTGTTTAACTTATATGTAGCCTGCGAATGCGGGATAATGTTTCAGCTTCTTTTTTGAGTCTCTGTTGGAAATAAACTACCGTATAAACTAGCCGGCTAGAAGACGTGGAATCTTTGACTGTTATTATAGTTGCCCCTTGATCCTGGATGTATGTGAAATGCAAAATTGCATGGCATTTAGGACAATGTTCTGTTGAAAGATACCCCTTTCAATTTTAGCATTATTTTAACCGTGTTTTATACCCTAATTTTAAACTTCGGCCAGCTAATTTTATAGTCTCGAGCTAAATGCAAGTTGGCCAAGTTCGCCTGGGCATTCGACCCTCTCAAAAAATAAAATACCAGACTTCACCTCTTCAATAAGAAGTACCTCTTACCAAATCCTTGACAACAACCCACTCAAAATAATAATAATAATAATAATAGTTTCTTGAAGTATACCATATGAATATAGAGAGTGTACCTTAGGAGAATTATTAATTTTAAAATACATAAAAATTAATTAAAATTAATTTTTTTAAATATTTCCTATCAAAATAGGAAGTGCATGGTAAAATTGTCACGAAAGGGATTAGTCTCAAAGATTACCCTTTCGTTAGTTTTAATTACATAAAAGCATTCCATTCCATATGAGTGACGCAACGGCCACTTGCTGTACTTTGAGCAGGTTGTGGTTTGTATTTCATATTTTGGGTTAAATACCTTCTTTACACACTAATATCTCTAACCATTATACTTCTGAAAAAAAAAAGAAAAATTGCATAAAAATTATCTGAAAACACCGCTAAATGCTCAACGGTAATCCAATTTTCTTTCCATGTCCACAATTTTTGGACAAATCTTAGTTTATTTCATTTTGGTTCACATTGTCACAAACCAAAGCCAGAGTCTTATTTAGCAATCAATTCTTCCTGATGCAAGTCTCTGAGCAAGAATCCACACAGCTTTCCACTTTCTCCTCACCTAAGCACCAAAAGCAACAAAACCCATTAATTTCGGTTTCTGGGTATTTCAGTACTGAGTACAGATTACAGAATGAAAGCATTAAAGAGAAGAAAAGGAGCAAACATCACCGGGGTCTTGTCTGGAGCTGAACCCAGTGCACAAGGAAGAAGCACAGCTAAGCTTGCAGAAGTACTCTGTTTCCTCACTCGGTGTCTGATTCTGACCGTCCAATGCAGTCGGCGGCGGTTTGAATTTGATGCAGTCCTTCAGGCACTTGACGGAGCATTTGAGAGCTGATTTCCCCAGCATAATTATACACAAAATGAAGCAACTTTCATAACAGTCCTTGAAATTGGCTGATGATTGCCCCAACAAAAGCCCCAGAACCAAGCAGAAAACCAAAACCAAGCTCAATTTTCTTTCCTCCATTCTTTTACTTCTCCCCTTGTTTCCTTTTAGATTTATGCAAGCCAGCAGCCAAAATTATTTACTCACTCGTGAGAGCCGACTGAGGTTGTTGCCACCGTGACCTTTGTTAATCTCACTAGCATAATTTTAGAATAAACATGAGATTAAAATTTGATCAACGAATTGTTATTTCGAAGGAATTTAATTCTCTTTTCTTTTCTTTCTTTTAAGGTTTAAATTTTGAATTTAAATTTTATGGATGAAAAAGTATGTGTCAAAGAGAGTTTATGAGATGGTTCGATTTTAAATTAATTAAGATATAATATAATTATTAAATATTAAAAAGTTAAAAAAAAATTATATTAAAATTTGTGATTAGTTAATAAATTAAATATTTTAATGACAATATATATTTTTTTTTGTTGAAAAGTAAAAAATTTTAAATTTAAATTTATAACATATGAGTAAGAGATGATAAAAAAAATAAAAAAAAATTTTAAGGTTAAAATTTGAAATAAATGTATTAAAGTAAATTAAGTTATTTAAAATAATAAAAAATATATTTTATATTATTTAAAATTTTTTAAAAAACTTTTATAATTATGGACAATTAATTTTTTTTATGTATAAAAGAAATGATACTTAATAAAATACTCAAAACTCAGAGCGTCAAACGCACGGGATTTCTTTCTCCTCTTGTCAGGAATTCCTTCACCCTCCAAAAAAAAAAAAAAAAAAAAAAGCACCTTCAAGGTGCCATCTTCCAATACATGACGCTAACACCAAGTTTCTTAAAAATATCTCCTCTAAAAATCTAGGTTTTCCCAAATGACAAACCTTCTGATCCCATCCTAACAAATCCCTATTTTTCTCTCCAATTTCTGGTTTTTTTTGTTCTCTCTGGTTCCTTAAATTCGTTCTGTCTCAGAAACACACATTGTGATTTTGCAAATTTGTGGCGTTTGGTTCGAATTGGTTCTGCTTTTGAAAAAGTGTGATTTCTCTGTGTGTGAGGGGGGGATTTTGTTGTGTAACTGGAAATTTCTAAAATAAGGTTTTCGGTTGTAAAGATTTGTGATATCTGTGGATTGAATTGATGGCTACAGCGGCTGAAGAAGAGGTGGAGTATGAGAGTGATCCAGAGGAGTCGAAGCGCTCCTTGGCTATGCGTAGGCGAGAGGCAGCGAGTGATGATGAAGAAGGAGACGCGAAGGATGATAGGCCAAGAATGGATCGGAGAGCGGGAGTCAACTCTGATGAATCCGATGGACAGGGTGGTGCGGCAGAATACGATTATGAGGACGAATTGGGAGTAGAAGACGAAGAGGAAGAATATTCGGAGGAAGAGGAAGAAGAAATTGTTGAGGAACCTGTGGAAGAAGAGGGTGAAGGAGACGTACAGAGGAATGGGGAGAGAGTTGTCAAAGGTTCAATGATGGCCACAGTGTTGAATGAAACAGTGGTAGATGGTAAGAGGAATGTGGAAGACGTGCCAGAGAGTCATGAGGGAAGTCATGTTGGTGAGGAAGAAGAGGAGGAGGAGAAGAAGGAGAATGAACCGTTTGCTGTGCCAACTGCAGGGGCGTTTTACATGCATGATGACAGGTTTAGGGACAATGCTCGTGGTCGGAATAGGTACATTTACATAGCAAGCACGACCATTCAACACCAAATAGGGCTAAGCTTAGTTGGTTTATTGACTTTTCAAATCTTCATGGATGGTCTCTTCATCTAAATGGTTTTACTCAGGCAATTAGAATCTGCAACAGAGCTTACTGCCAATTATTTAAGACTTGATCTTTATTACAGTTTTTGGTTTTTTTACGCCTGAAGCTCGTTTATCAAAGTCCATAACCTGGGCCCGGTTCCTTGTCTTCTATTGATTTTCTTTTCATAACTCTTTGCATGCTGCATAATTGGTTGGACCTAAGAAACTGTTGTATAATGATATATGTTAGAATTATATGCTAAGGTTATATCTTTGGGCAAGTGTAGCTGGTGATTATTTAACTACATTACTTTAACACTTAAAAACTTGAAATTATTGTGTAATCTGTGATAATATTTCTTGAATTTTCTATATGTATGGTTGGCCATACCATATAATTCATTAAGGTTTTAGTTTTTCTTTTGTTTTTTATGTTTTGGCTTTTTTCTTTCTTCTTTTCTTTTTTTCATTTAATATCTATTTGCTTCTGCTACTTCTTGCTTTTCCTAAGTGGCCTCAGTATTTCTGATTGTTTACTTTTAGAGATAAAAAGCAAACTTCATTGGTTCCAGGTTGTATTTGTGATGCTGCAATAATGTATTAATTTTAAACTTCACAAACCTTGGATAGTTGTTCTTACCTTTAATAATATTTTGGTGCATTACTTGCTGATGCAAAGTAGAAAATGAAATTTGGCTTGTAGAGAAGTAGAGATTACAGTCTTCTTTTAGGTTTTTCTTTTCACCATTGTATTTTGTTATATCTTTTCTGTATTTCATAATGTTGACATATCATTGATTTGTCTAATTCTATACTTTGGGTGGTAACCTTTACTCCTGATTCTTCTTTCTCTAGGCGTACACATTTGGGAAGAAAGCTGTGGGAATCTAAAGATGATAGGAAATGGGGTCATGACAAGTTTGAGGAGATGACTCTGCGGGAAAAGCACTATGATGAGGTGATGCTTTTTTTAATGTGCAATTGACAAAATGAGTTTTTATTTATTATTATTATTATTTTCATGTCTTCCTTTTCTTTTCTATTTTATGCTTTTCTAACATATGTTAGATAAGCAGGGAAAGAGGTCTTCAAGAGGTCGTCATCGAGCTTATAGTAGAAATCAGGGTGCAGATCGTGGCTATTCAAGGGGAAGTAGGTCTAAATCATTGAACAAAAATAACAACCAGAGCCAGGCTTCTAAAGTTGTCCGAGGGAGAGGGCCTAGGAGGTATGAACTTGCTTGGAAGATGGGCAGTCAGGCACTTCCAACACAGAGCAAACGGTGAGTATAACTTTGATTTTATTTATTTTCATTCTGTACATATTTGCAGCAGATTTTTCAGATATGTGACACTTCATGTGCTGAAACTATTAGATCTGGGAAGGCTCTTGAGAAGACATTTCAGCCTAATCCAACTAGAACTTTCCCACCTTCAACAAATGTAGAGTCTGCATCAGTTCCTGCTAGAAAACATGTCGCATCAAGCTTGAATTCTGCTTCCCCTCCCTTTTTTCCATCGGGTTCTCTCAACAAAGACATTACTTTGACTCAGAAAAAGGATATGCAAGCTGTAACTGTGAGTAGGAATCAAGAGAATTTTCCTACATCACAAACGAATGCTCTACGAGGGAAGAATATAGTTGATTCTGTTGGCATAGAGAAGCTTCATATAGATGATTCCAATACATCAACTACTGGGAAGACATCAACCAATCTGCAAATGTTACCCTCTGGATCATCATTTAGTTCCAGTCAAGTCTCTCGGACCAGGACTCAAGGCAGTGGTTTGGCTATCCCAGGACAGATGGCTTATGTGCCAGCTTCAACCCAGAACAAAGTCAACAGGGTTTCTCCATCTACACAGCTCCATGCTGTTCAAAGAAGTTCTTCTCGGAGCAGGGGCCAATCATCTGTTCAAGCCTCTCCTCAGCAAGTGGGCCAAACATCCTCTCCATCTAAAACAGGAATGTCAGTTAATTCTAATGAACCTGGAGAAGAGAAACCTTCTTCAGAAAGCAGTAATTTTAAAGGTGCATTGGTTGGGAAGGGAAAAGGCACCATCCAAGGGGCTGGCAGGGGCTCGTTTTTATATGGTGGGGCCCAGGTTATGGGAGCCACAGGGAGTATGGCTGTTAGCCATGGAGATCAAAGCTTTCCTGCCTTTTTGCCAGGTAAAACAGTTTTTTCTTTTTAATGTCTCAAACTTTTGCCAAGCTGAATATTTGATACTTTGATATTGATGATTGACATGCAGTTATGCAATTTGGGGGTCAGCATCCTGGTGGCATTGGGGTTCCTGCTGTTGGCATGGCATTCCCAGGATATGTTACCCAACCACAACTTGGTTTGGGTAATTCTGAGATGACATGGTATGTTTTGTAATGTTGTTTTTATTTTCATGCATTTACTTGTCATTGATGAGCATCTTAAAGTTCCTATATTTTTCCTTTGGAGAAGTTGCTACTCCTAAGTGGATAATCTGTTCTGATAGATTTTTATTATGTTGGATGGTGAGGCTGGTAAATGCTTGAAGCTGGGTGTTTATTTTTCCCAGATGCTTTTCTAAAAACTCAATTATACTTATTTTCTTGTTTTTGTCTTTCTTATTTATTTTTTTACTTAAATCCAAAAGCATTAACAGGGATCATTTTCATGATGTTTAGGCTACCAGTACCAGTATTGACAGGTGCGGCTGGGTCTTTAGGGCCAACATATTGTTCACCTTATATTTCTGTAGATGGGGCTTATAATACTCACACATCAGTGTTGACATCTTCAATGAGCTCCTCAAGGCAAGTTTGATGGTTGCTTGCCATCACCTGCTTTCTTTAAACAAACTTTGTAATTGCTTTTTCAAAGTTTCCTGTAGCAGATTACGAATATGATCTGCTCTGATTGACCTTGAAATTGTCACCATGATTTAGATCAAGCCATGGTTTAGTTGAGTGCTTTATAGCTGATAACAGTTCTTTGTTTCCTTCTCAACTGTATTTCATTTCCTATGATTGAATAGAAATCCAACCAGTGTGTGATAATGTTTCAGGTTCATGGTGTCTTAAGAGTTTGTGTATGACTATTCTATTCCACATTGTTTGGTGCATTCAAAATAGTTGTTTAAGAATGGGTCTTAGTGGCCATTAGTTATTTTTTTCCTTTATTTCAAAAGAGCTCTAGACTAAAGGAGATGGTGTATCTGTGTAAAGTTTCTCCATTTAGTTATGTATGGTTTTTGAGTTGTCTTTAAGTATTGCATTACCAGTTACTTTAGTAGTTGTTTCAGTGGTAAAATCATTCTGATTTTGATTACTCACATACCTTTGCAGCAAAGAAAATAATCCAAACAAATCAAATAACGGATGGGATCCTTCACAAAAACCAGGTAATACATGATTTTGTCTCCTCTGTATGCTCTGATTTGTGGACCTCCCACAGATAACTGTTTCAATTTGTTATGTTTTTGTAAAAATTAATTTCCTTCCTTGGCAGAGCTTGCTAGTGATGAATTTGGACGGCAAAATAACCCAAATAAGCAGCCTCGCAGGCAAGTTTAAATTCTTGTGGTGTTTAATAAGCTGGTTGCAAAATCTGTCCTTGTTGATCCCATTTTTGTCCTTGTCACAATACTTTTGTTTCTCTTTTGTTGCAGATACTCGGAAATGAGCTTCAGCAAGTAATTTACTTAGTTAAGATGGACCCTGTCAAAATAAGCTGATGAAGGTTATTAAAACATTATTGAGAGTTTATTACTTTTCTTTTACAAGCGTTTTGAATTTTTTAGTTGTGAAATATATGGTGCTGCAGGCCTTTCTTCTTGGCCCTTTGTGATCCAACCTTTGTCTTGGAGCACTTTGGGCTGCAATATGTTCCAGGATATTGTAGGTAACTGCCCTTAGTCCCCTCAGTCAAAATGTAAAATTGATTTTTCTTATATATTTTGAATTTCTCTTTTTCTACCTATTTTGAGGAAAGTACAAATTTCTTCTGTTAATCCCTCTTGCGTTATAATGGAGATATTTTTTAAGACACGAATCAGTGTATCTAAACCATACCCCACCCCTTATCTCCCTTAACATGATGTGTTCATTTAGCATTCAAGAGGTATGGTTATGAAACAATAGCCTACAATATGGTCTAATCTCTTAGAGATTGAAGCTCTGCACTTTATGTGAGCCCTATATGCAAGACAAGCGGCATTTTGTGTATCTAAAGTAGTTCAATTAAAATTCACCATGTTCCTTCTAACCCTTTTTGTTCTGGCAGTTGTTATATGGCAAATGTCTGCTCTTGCTACAGTCGATTTATGAATGTTTATTGTGGTTTGACAGGGGCCACTCCCTTGTTTAAACATGCGGTATGAGTATGCCTTTTAGAAAGCTTACCTTCTCTCACTTTTTGTAAGGTCATATTTGTAACACTGGTGTTTATATCGTTTTAGGTTTTCCTTTGGGGTTGATCTTTTAATGAACAAAGAAGTAATATGCAGCAGTTGTGCGCTCAGTTGATCAAGGATTTTATTGTGTTTACTAGAGTGCTGTGGTGACTTTATGGTTGATCAATTAATCTTGTTGGATCTTGCTTGATATTTTTCTTATTTAGTAGAGTGCTGAGTTGTGTGCTGTGCATCTGAAATCAATGATTTTTTTCTTGCTTGTAAGAAAAAAAGTATATTGCAGAAATCTCTTCTAGGAGTTACATGTTTGTTCTTTCAGCTTCTAACTTATTTTAAAAGCTAAATCACCTTTTAAAAAAGCCAAATGAATTTTCTTTTCTTTTTCTTTTTCTTTTTTTTTGGAGAAATTCTTTTAAAAGAAAAACTAGCAAAACAAACTGTTCGATTGAAAAGTTGTAAGAAGAAATTTGTAGGAGGTATCTTACATGTGCAGGGGTAAACATTGGGGGGTGTGAGTGCCAGACAACCAACATCTCTTGTTAGGGATCCACTAGGCTTTTCTGAAGAATATCAAATGCAAATTTATTATTTAACATTGGGTAAACATGCATGTATAGTCTCTCACCTTCATCGTCATAACTCTCACTTTTTAATCACTCTTGATTTCTCTTTCTCTTACCTTAGTTGTAGAAACAGTAATAGTTTTTCTGTTTTACAGGGCGTCAAGCTTAACATTGACAGGTCAAAGTCCAAGAGGAATCCTACCTCCACCTTTGGATACGTTGTTCACAACCATGATGGATTAATTGATGGGGGTGGTGGGTATCTAGAAGGAGACTATGAAGAAGATAAAAAATTTAGGTAAAAATTTAACATAGCAAATGAATACTAATTTAAATTTTTTATCAAGTGAACTAGCAAACAAGAACTATATATAGGAAAGGGAAAATTTTTAACAGACATTTGTTTTTTAAAAATCAAAAATTTAAATTAGAATTACTATTATTAAACTAAGGGACTAATAGTTAATAAGTACAGACAACTCTAACACCAAACCACATAATTAATGGTAGTTTCTAAGTATTAATTAATTGTAGTTCTTTCCTTATCTTTATTTTTGATTTGTTTCCTTTGGTTCGTTTTAGCAGCTTGAGATTTAATTTGAGGTAAGAGGAAAAATGAAAGTGTAGAGTCCGTTTTCTTAATGATGAATTTAGATAACAATTAGTGAAGAAAAGGGAAAGGCAAGGGAGGAGAAGTGAAGGAAAGTAAATGATTGGTTTTAATCTTGTTTGAATAGACAAAAAAGAGAAGAGGGAGGATAATATTTTTATTTAATTAAATAATTTAAAGAAAAATAGAAAAAAATTATTTTTTAATTTTATTATTTAAATAAATAATTGAAATAAAATGTATATCTATTTTCTTAAAAAATTTTATAAGAAAAAAATTTAATGTAAAATAAATTTACTGTAATCTATTTAATTTAGAGGGATGGAAAATAGAGGAATAGAGGAGGCTTTGTCACGCTTCATCTTGTTAAGTAATCCAGACAATGGGAAGTAGACCTCTCTCCTCACTCTCCTCCCCTTCCCCTTCAAATCTCCCAATCCAAACTCACTTCAAAAACATGTTCTTGCAGTCTAATTGGCCCACTAGACCAATGGTATACAGCTTTTTTCTTTATCATTTCATTCCATTGCATTAGTGTCAAGGACTTGGTGTGAGATTCATACCTAAGGAGAAGGAAAAGCTTCTGCACTTAGAAAACAAACTTCAGGTTGAAGGTCATCTTGATCTTCATTTTGAAATGTGTTTTTATGGGGTTTTTTATATGCACGTTTGTTTGGAGTTTTTCAGGTGGTGCATTAGTTGCCTCTTATGTGTTTTGAGTAGAGGAAAACTAATGTTCTTTCATGGGGTTTGAATAGAGAAAAACCAATGTGTCATCTGCTTCTAATGGTTCTAGTTGTTGAAATGCTTATAAATTAACTTGTTTTGTCACCTGTTATGTTTCCATAAAATTTTTTTGTTCTTACTAAGATGATAACTTTTTATTTGAAATGATTTACATATACTAGTTGTATAAATTTTATTGGGGGATAATGTTGAATGAAGACTATTTGTTTCTGGTCAGTCTTACATGCATATCCTGAGAAATTCAGTTTAATTTGATTAATTTTTGTGATTCTCTATTCTCGGTAATGTATCATGCCCTTTAAATTAAGCATATAAACCCGCATAATACATTACCCACAAGAGAGAATAACAAATAGCGAATAGGTCAAATTAATCAAACTAATCTGAATTTCTCATAATCACTCTGAATGGATATGCATGTAAGGCCAATCACAAACAAAGTCTTCATTTAACATTATACTCAAATGAATATGCAGCCAGTCTATATCAATCATTTCAAATAAAAAATTATCACCTTATTAAAAATGAAGAAATTATACGGAAATACAACTTGTAATCAAATTTTCATCAACTCGAACGGTTAGGTACAGATTGACGCATTTGTATTCATCTCCAAGGATGACATTTGTTTTCCTAGGCAACTAATGCACCACAAAAATGAACTTTTCCTTCTCCTTAGGTATGATGAATCTCACGAACGTAAAAAAAGTTGTTTGCCAAGAATAATCTCTCATTGTGTCCTTGGCATTGATTCAATGGAATAATAAAGAAGAAAGCTCTCTATCGTTTGTCTATATGTGGCCTAATTAGATTGCAAGGACGTGCTTTTACAGTGAGTTTGGATTGAGGGATTTGGAGAGAAAAGGGAGGAGAGTGAGGGGGAGATGTCTTTCTTTGATTGTTCTGATTATTTCATTGATAGAGGGATGATGTAGGTGATAGATTTCTCCACTCCTTTGTCTTCTATCTTCTCAAATTAGAGGAATTGCAATAAATTTAGTTTGTATTTAATTTTTTTTCTTATTATTTTTTAAGAAAATAATATATAATTATTTTATTTTTCTTTAAATTAAATAAAATAGTATCCTCCCTTCCTCTTTTGTCTATGCAAATAAAGTTAACACTAATCATATCCTTTCCATCACCTCTCCTCCCTATCCTTTCCTTCACTTCTCCTCCCTTAAACCGAGTCTTAAGGGAAAGGGACTACACTTCCATTTTTACTCACCTCAAGTTGCTAAGAAAAAACAAAGGGAGGGAATGGGAAATGGAGATAAGATAAAACGTACAGTTAATTAATACTTAGAAGATATCATTAGCTATGTGATTAGGTGTTAAAGTTGTTTGTGCTTATTAATTACTCCCCTCTATTCAAAAATAATAATTTTAATTTGAAATTTTTATTTTAAAAATCTTGGGTGAAAATTTGATGTGGTAAACAAATGTTAATAAAAAATTTTACTTTTCCTATATATAGTTTTTGTCTAATGGTTCATTAAAAAAAATTAATTGGTATTTATTTGTGATGTTAAATTTTGACCTAAACTTTTTATCTTCAAAGTCAAACTAAAACTACTATTCTTGAATGGAGAGAATAAAAGTTATGGTTAAGTGCATGATGAGAAGCAAGCAACGTGTACCATACCATTGGACATTAGGAACTAAAAATTCCGTCACTTGTCCTAATTGATCCCATCTGATTCTTCCATGTCAGTACAAATACTAGTAATGGTTAAAGTCTACTATTATTAATGATAAAAGTTATTTTATTTGGTAGGGGCATTGTAAACACATTTTACTTTCAATTTGATATGGGAAATGCAAAAAATAACTACAAGTCTACCATCCCAAGAGAAGCGAAATCTTCTATGGTATTTGTGGGGGTGAGTTCAAGACGGTGAGGGGGTGTAAATCACAGGGAAAGGTAAGCCGTATGACCCAGGAAAATGTATGGGCACGCTGTATAACACACAGTGCCGATGACTCCCAATAGGAAATCTTCCGCCCCCGTCTGAAAAACACAAACTCTTCCAAGCTTTTGGCACCGAATTATGTAATAAAGTGAACTTCTCCAGTATCTCGGGCATAGCTAAGTAATTGTTGAATAAAAACTACACAAGGAATCTTCTCCACACAAAAGTAAGAACTAATTAGGAAGCATTCTAATTAGTGGAACGAATGTCACAGGATGTGGGTTTGTGCAAGCTTTACATGGTGTCTTCTCCGCACAAAACCAAGAGCTAATTGGAAGAATATTGATCAGTGTGACGAAATTCAAAAAACGAAAAATAGGAGGAAATACTGGTAGCTATTGAGTACTGTTGATGATGATGATCTGGGCTTGTACCAGCTATACACTTTATACAAACAGTGTCTTGCAATTTGCCAAGTGTCTAACAACACCAGGCAATTTGCAAAAGCAAACCTATAATTACAGCATAGTATAATACAGTATAACACTAACAAACAAAGATCAACTTTTAAATCTCTATGTAACATCCTGATTGTACATGGCCGGAGAATTTCTCCGGGGTCTGCATTTCTGTCCACTCAGCTTTTTCAAGGTCTAACACGTAAGCTCTGTGGGGCTCGCCCAATTTTGAGGAGCCAATAGCCAGCAACTTCCCCCGCCATGTCACCACGCAAGCAGTGTTGCCCAGCTCTGAAGGCAGCTTGGCCACCATCTTCCACATGGCACCTTTTCGTGTCACCACGTCAGCTCCGCAGCACATGTATACATCCATCTCATCACCTGCTGAGCAGGTTCGCGGACAGGTGCCCGCTTCCAGAAATTCCTCTTCCACGCTGTTCCATCGCCAAGTCATCACGTCGAATTCCTCCGCACTTCTCTCGAAGTGACCTTGCATTGCTGTACAATACCCGCCAATGATGTGGAACTTGCCACGTTGGAAAATCCCCTTACACTCGTCACGTTCTCTTCGCATGTCAGGCAGTTGAGTCCAATTGTCTTTTTCCACGTCATATGCCATCGCTGACCTCAGTGCGTTCTTGTCACTGTCATGTCCACCGGCCACATACACCACCCGATGATGATCCGATGCACACCCGAATAACAGCCGCCGAACTCCTGGAATATCAACCCCTCGCCGCCAGCATCCGGACAAGAAATTAAAAACATGAACAGAACGAGAAACCTCCCAAGTCCCCGGCTCCAACCCACCCATCACCACAAGCTCCGATCCTACAGCCCTTATCTGACAAAAGTACGGCAACCCATGTGGAAGTCCAGGCACCGGAGGCAACTCGTCCCAATTACCACTGCATGGATCCAAAACGCTTAGCCGATACACCGAATGGCAGGACTTGGATACACCGATTCTCCTTTCTGGGTCATCCCGAGCTTGGGCTATAACAACTAGTTTCTGCGCATACCCGGCAGCCCTTCGCAGCAGAAAAAACGCCGGAAGCTCAATCTCAGTCTTCCAGGCTTTGCAAGTGGATGCAATCTTGGGGAGCTGATTATACGAAACCCGAATCAAACATTCACGGACGACATCAAGTGGAAGATTTGGAACCAAATCCATGGTAAGAAAAGAATTGGGTTATTTGGGTATGTAAGAGAGATGGATATGGAAGAAGGGGACAAATTTGAAGAAGAAGAAGAAGAATAGAAATATGGATTTGAGGAAAGATATGGGCGGTTATTTTTTATAGGCAAACTGCAAGTAGTTTTGGGTTCCAAAACGATTAGTATTGACTCTGATAATGACAGGAATAAATGGCAAATTGTTTTCTCATACCGGCCAAGGACGGTAGAAATTTAATTAGCACATGATTCTACTCCAATCCTGTACTGCAACATCAAATATCTGATCTTTTTCCTGCCATTGATTTCCCTGCAAAAAAATCAAGATTAAAAATTTTAAAACTCTGCAATTTGTGTGCTTCTTTTTAATTGGATCATCTAATATGAACACAATTTGGCTCTCTTGGTTTTCTAGCACAAATTGATGTTGCATTTAACACATGGCCGCAATTTGTCCACTGGTGTCAAGATACATGAACGTGGTTGCAACTAGCAACATGAACGTGGTTGCAACTTGCAACATGAACGTGGTTGCAACTTGCAACAGGTCAATCTGGAACTTTGTTCTGTTTTTGCCCTTTCTCCAAGTTGGAACATAAAAATGGATTGGTTAATTTAAGGTGAATCAACAGAATACCTTTTCAAGTGGATCAATAGGTAAGAGTTTGAAATTTTAAATTGTAAATTACAGATCTTAAATTTGAATTTTAGATTGAGTGGGAGGAATTTAGGAAAATGAAAAAATTATCTCTTTTTGTATAAGTCATCATTATCATATGTGTATATATATATGTATATATAAAAGAATACCTTCCCATAAAAAATAAAAAAAAATTAAAATGGAAAAGAAGGTAGAATACCTTGTAACTCAAGGTATATAGTTCCAGGTTTTACAAGTTATGTGAACAATCAACAAGTTGCAGAATTCTTGTATTTCATTTTATAGTGTGTTTCAAATTAGAATGTTGAATTTTCTATCATTAAAAAATTTAATCAAGTTGGTTATTAATGACTTTGAAATGTTGTTTTGTAATTAATATTGGGGTATTCAAACGTCCTCATTACCTAAGCAACCATATACTAAAAAATATTTGATTTCAAACATAAAAAATGAGATCATACGTGTGTGTTTTGTCTTCACATCATAGCTCATAACAATTTCTGCTTTGATAAAAATATCTCAATCTTAATTAATTAATCAATAAGTTCTTTTTTCGTAGGTTTAGATTTGATATATAATATAATTATATCATCTTGATAAGTTGCAAGCAAAAGCAAGAACATGATAAACACATAATTAACACCAAATTAAGTAAGGTATGCTAATTATTTTAGTTGTCAACTATATAATATAAAATGAAGAGAAACCAATAAGCAGCAATTTTATCCACAGAATCTCAAGGGTTGGATGTATTAGTGTGTGTGTGTATATATATATATATCTATATATAAAAGTGTCATTTTGTAAGCAATATTTAAAGTTTAAGTTTTGAAATCAATAATTAAATAAATTAATTTATTTGAATGTATCAAATTGATCTAACAGATATATCCTTAAAATCACTAAAAAAAAATTAGTTTTAAAGTGTGTAAAAGCAACTCCAAAACACCTTTACCATCTAAACAAAAAAGGCAATCTTATCCATATTTGTTTGTTTGAGTAACAAATTAATAACAAGTAATCCATCAATTTTAAACTAAAATTTGAACTTCAAGTGGGATAATGTGATATGATTTTTCCCAAGGCCATAACTTAATTCGGTCATGTTGCACACGTTTGTATAAAAGTATAAAACTAATGCTTGCAATTATAAACCCAATTGGCAGGTAACTGTTTTTTAATAGGTTAGTTTAGGGTTAAAGTTTTAGAATTAGTATTTAAAAAATTATTTTTTAAAAAAAAATTACACAGACTTAAGAATAACTTAACTATTCAAAAAAAAAAAAAAACTTGCCATTATATAAAAGATCAAGAAAAATCAAGATGCTATGACAATTAAAATTCTAAAAATGATAATGAAAAAAACTAAATATTCTTAATAAATTAATATTTAAAAAATTTATTAAAAATATTTAAATAATTTTATAAATAATTATGATATTTTTAAATGTTAGGATATTTTTATTTATTTTTTAAATAATATAATATGTTTTAAAAGGCCTGTGTATAGCTAGCGATCATAAAAGATGGAAAAAGTTAAATAATTTTTAATGGTATTGAGTTGACAAGCTTGGATGAAATCGTGTAGAAATCTAATTAAGGCCATCATTTTCAACTCTATTCCTAGGAAAATAACTTTGGAAAAGGAGAAAATGCACCTCCAGAAAATAGACTTTGATTTTAATGGGATTGGAATCTATATGTTCCACTGTCACCAAGTATGTGTACATATCTCTAGGAATTTGTTTCTCCACAGAATTCTGACACAACCAAAGGGCCTGCAAGGGCCTCCGAGACCAGGGTGAATTGAATGAAAACTCAAAAAGGCACATTAATTGTCTTGTCGGCATGGCTAAAGTGAAATGGACTGCAATTCTGCATTCTCCCTCTTTTTTTTTATGTTGATTTAACGACAGAATGTAATTTTTTTTATTTTTTATCTCATTTTATTTGTATATTATATAAGTCAATTTAAAATATTTTATTTTTAATAAAAATAAATCATTAAATTATTTAAGTCATTATATTCTCATTTACTTTTGTTAAAATGTGAAAGAAAAAGTAAATTAACTATATAGACAGATTAATTGAGACTTGGATGAGACCAAATATTAGCATGTAGTCATGTACCTTAATCAGCAATAGAGATGCACCTCATTTAAAGGCATGATTTGTCAGTGATATGTTGTGCTGTAATTTATTTTTTATTATTTT